AAGATGCACTTAAGGTGAAAAAGTAATGAGCTGAAAAATGAGAAAAATATGAATAGCTAGAATAATATGAAAATTTGAAAAATATAAAAGCTCATAATAAGGAGGAGGTAAGTAAAAATAATAAGTATAGGTTCTACTATACATTATATGGTTTGACTTTCATTAGTAGGAGAATATACTTATTGACAGTGATTGACATGTCCCTTCTTACAAAATTAAGGTTTGGAGTCCTGCTTGTATTGGAATAGTGACACTTTACACACATGAGTCACTTGTACTTTTTACTTCATTTTGGTCTAAACTGAGTATGTGAGGAGGTCTGCTACCTGTTAATTTTACTTTTCCATGCTATTAACTACATTTTTGAGTTATTATGTGTTATTTGCTCAACTTGTTTTTTAATATGATTCCCTTCAGCATTTGTGACAAAAAGGGGAAGGGAAAAGTATAACTGAGGGAGAGAAGGGAGAGGAAAACAAAATGTAAAATAGCATACACATAAGGGGAGAGCTACTGCATTTGCAATGTGCACATGATTTCATTTATTGACATTACTTGCATTGCATTGCTATGTTTAGGGATTGTTGGGGAGAGACATAAATACATTTATCTACTGCATAAAAACATGAGAGTTTGCAGTAAGGGGAGCGTTGCATTGCATTTCACATCACATCCATCTGTTTGAGTTTTGATATTTAGTGGTGTTGGTATTTCGGTTGGCGTTTTGATTGGCATCAGTATAACGTCTCAAACTAGCATGTTGAATTGTGATTAAGTGTTTCAATTGTTATATTTCTTGTATCACGTGCTTTTTACACTGGGTATATGAGTTTGTGGATTTCAGGAAACAGACACAAGAAGGAATGCAAGACTCAGTTATTAAAATTACAGGGTAATATAGTTTTGGTTGTTAAGTCCAGACTTATTTTGTATAGTCTTGACTTCATTTGTATGGTTTTGTCACAGAATGCCAAAGGAGGAGTTTGTTAGATCTAAAAGTGTAATTGGCGATTCTGTGGACAAAACAGACTAAATTGTATAATTGTAAAAGTCAGTGACTTAATTGAACATTGGTGTAAAAGTCAGGGACTTAGGGTGCAATTTGTATAGTTGATGTAAATTAGTGTTCGAGTTGTTGAAGGAGCCCAATATGTCCAAGAAGATCACACAAGATCATTGGAATGCAATTGGAAGTCTAAAGGATATCAAAGAACCGCACAAAATATGTTCTGAATTTTCAGTCATAACTTGTAATGTATTTTTTACATAGAAAACGCTGGAATTTGGACAAGGTTATTTCTAGAAGAATTGTATTCCTTTGAGTTAGCTTTCCAACGCAACTTGAATCACCTTAATTGGACATCGGACGAGAAAGTTATAATGAAAATACAGTTAACTGCTCACTGTCGCTCGCTTCTCAGTGGCATTTTGCTCGAGGGAAAAAAAATAGAATATCTCTCGCTTGATTCTCGCTGGCATCTCACTCGAGCACACTCCTATGCGGCAAAAACCCTATTTCTTATTTTTGAAGTATTTTACTCGACCCATACCACCTAGATACCTTCAAATATAAATACACAAACTCTAGCACGAATTTTCAAAGGTTGTTACATTATTCTTTCATTGCAAAAGATATTCATAACATCTTTGAAGAGATCCAAGGTGCAATTAATTGGAGATTTCATCTACATCAATCTTGTGATCCAGCAACCATAGTTTTGGGAAAAAAATATTGAATCTACATAACCCAAAACACCTTACTTCCTTAATCTATTAAGGGAGGGACTCTCTCATTGGAGGATTGAGAGAGGTGGATTGAGGTGACTTTACAAGCACAAAAACGGATGATTCTTAGTGTTCCACTTGGTGATACAATCAGCTAAGGACCAGAAGGTTGTAGTGGATAGCAGATTGGGCTGCAGGAGGTAGATCAGGAAGTCTAGCAAGAGGCTAGAAGTATCTACAGGAGTAAATCGTGAGACTGGAACAGGGAGTCTGATTGGGTATGGAGTTTGTTATAACTTGTACTTGCTGAATTGGTATAGTGGAGGTAATTGGCTTGGTCCCGGACTTTTACCCACGTTGGGGTTTCTCCGTCATTATATTGTTTGTTATTTACTGCTTTGCATAATATACAAATTGCGGTATTCCAACATAGGTTAATTGACTTGTATGATTAATCACCTAGACAATTAATTAAAGTGATTTGTTGCTTTAGTTAGATCAATTCCACACGTAAGGTCAAATTGGTTAAAGTGAAATCTAGAACGCAAACTTGGAAACACATAAAACTTGAACTTAATACTGTGTCACGTTAGTCGAACTTTCTAGCATATCTAAGCGTTCTAAGTCAAATTTTTTTCAGATGTTACCTATGTAAGCAAACTTTTATGAAAGACTGGGGCTGAAATTCTAAGAAAAATGTGAGGTGGAAAAAGAAACACACCAAGGATTTGATTGTAGCAAGCACTCTCAAGAAAGGCTTCAACTCTCAGAATTTCTATTGAAATTCTTTATTCTATCATAATGAGATGCCTGTAATGGTTTGTGGAACTTAGATGCTTTGATGTGGCTTTCATGAATTGAAGACTTATAACCGCTTTTGGTTGGAAATTATTTTTTTAAACAATCGATAAAACTAACACAGTCATTTAATATAATGCTGCCATCTGACCAGTTTTTACCAAATTTCTAAGCTGATTATACATGAAATAATTCCTTTATTCAGAATCCATTAAAACTTCACAAGCTGGAACCTCTTGAGGATAAGTTCTTTAATGATATTATTGTTCTATTCTTCTATCATGAATTTTGAAATCTTCCACTCCAAGATCCTCTTCTTGCAATAAAAATAATAGAAGTATGCATTAAGTTGCATTTATTTGCATAACAACTGATGATGTTATTTTCTGTTTCAATTCCAAACATAGAACCACAAAAAGGTGATGGTATAACTTTGGACTTTCTGAAGAAAATGATATGTCCTAGTTGCTCTATAATTTTTGAATTCAAATAGGACCCAAAACCGTGAATTTGTTACAATTAGGATTTTGATGTATTTACTATGTGGCAACACATTCCACTCATAACATTACTTATCAGTTTGTGTACAAACCCAGAGAAAACACAACTTTTAGTGCAGACGTGTGTGGGTAATGGGGATCGGGCAACTGTTCATTTGGCACCTTGACTCATTTCTTTTTCTACGTTGTTCAAATCTTGTGGTTTATTCCTATTCTTCCTCTCGTTTATCTTTTGTTATTTGTATGCTAGTTAGTTTAAAATTAATATCTTAACTAAAATTTAGTTCTTTCTATATTTTGCAGATAGTCATACCAAATTGCAAGATAATGCTCTGAGTGTTGCAGCTGAAATGTTAAAAAGGTGTGGCATATGTTGCTTGATGTTAATTAACATAGTTATTGGTGTTGTACATGGAATTATACGTGAACAACTTGGAGGGTCCAATTCCTGCTGAACTAGGAAAATTGAAGTGCCTTATTAGCCTGGATTCATCCCTCCCTCTCCATACTGAGATTCTTGTTAGCACAATTAGTTTCAATTTTAACTTCTTTCGCTTTAATACCATACTGAGATTCTTGTTAGCACTCTATCTACTATTATTGTACCTTATCGAGCATTTTTGTCTATTTTTATGCATTTGAATAGCAACAGGCTAACAGTAAGAATGCTAAGGTATCGATATTACCTAGTTTGGAAAACTATAGATTGTTTAAGTACTCAATTCAAAATTAAGCCATGATTATGTAATATCAAAGCTCTTTCTTTCCCCGTCATTTTTTATACAGAATTTGCTTTCACAAAATATATTTCTGTCTTTTTTTTGCATTTATATAATTTATTCACAGAAATGTGTGATTCTTCAGAACAAAAATGGGGGTGGTCGGTGGTGCCCCTGTATTTTGTAGTCTAAATGTGGTGGACTTTGAGGTGAAGAGAGGGCTGCTGCTGTAATGAGGCAAACTAAAATAATAATCATTTTTTTTATTCAAATTAGCGATGGAAGTTCGTAGCTAATTATTGAGGAACTTTTAATCCGTAGGTAATTGCGACAAATTTTTTTTGCTAATGCTGTTGTTAAGTAGCTACAAAAAGAGTTGTTGGTAAAACCAACAGAATTTTTTTGTCGCTAATTTACCAACGGTCAATGAATTTCTTAGGTAAATTAGTGGCGCCACTTTCAACGTCGAATTTACGGACGGAGAATTTTCATTGGTAAAACCCATTACCAACAGAATTCAAGGATTAGCAACTGAATTTTCCGTCTATGAAGCCGCATTTTTTTTTTTTTTTTGTAGTGGTAGCTATTTGATATATTTTATTGTACCACATTTTTGTTGCAAGTCATCTCGAGGCTTTATAAGAATACATAAATCTGGGACCTTCGATAAATGTAATAAGACTGTTTTATTTCTTTACTTATGTTCATCTCCGGGAAGTACATTAAAGTGGGTTTCTTAGTCTATTATTACATAATTGAAGGATTTCTATTTGCTTAATCCTAAACAAGAAAATATCTATATCATATTATACTTTTCTCTTGCGTTGTATTTTCAGTCGTACATGAACTTAAAAATTTGGGCTAAAATGGCACAATACATGCCTCTAGAAGTTCAAAATGAAGTTCCAAGTCATGTTAGCGATGATCATGCTCAAAAGTGAAGCTTAATTATTATTCATCTGAAAGAGTTTCCGTTATGTCCCCCAATGAAGGTTTTAAAGGTACAATTATTTATCGTTGTAAAATTTGTTGGAAAATAAGTGAAATGAGAGATTACATTATCCGATGTCTTTCAAGACATAACATTTTCTTACAATTGTGTTTGGGGTGCATTAAAAAAAAAGGATTAAGTCGAATTATGTACACAAAATTTGACCAGACAATAGTAAAAGTTTCCATAAGCCTACTTCATGGTTCCCATTTGCTGATCAATTGAAAGGTTATACCGTTGATTCTAACTGTCAATATTTGAATTTCTTACCATATTCAGTCCCAAGTACACCACTTCCAAACCCTATAAATACATCCACTCGCTCATACTTCTTTCTCAAATCTCAGATCCAATCAACTCTCTTTTTCATAACAGTCCTCATCATGCTATCTCAAGACCCTCCAACCAACACTCCTGCCGCTGCCAAAACTAGAGAATTCAATCTCCCTTCCGCCACCATTACCACCACTCCCACCACCATCAAAGCCGTAGAGTACAAGAAGTGTATTGAACCATCTTCCACTACTCCAATGGGCCAGAAGCAGTCGCACAAGTGTGACGTGTGCGGAAAGTCTTTTCCGTCATGCCAAGCACTCGGCGGCCACAAAACCAGCCACCGCAGTAGACCTCCGCCCACCACGCCTCCGCCGCCGCCGCCTCCGAAGACTTCATCATCACGAATGTATCTGATTTCAAACCAGGAATTCAATCCCCCCGCCGCCGCCATTATCACCACTCCCACCACCATCAAAGCCATAGAGTACAAGAAGGGTATTGAACCATCTTCCACTACTCCACTGGGCCAGAAGCAGTCGCACAAGTGTGACATGTGCGGAAAGTCTTTTCCGTCATGGCAAGCACTCAGCGGCCACAGAACCAGCCACCGCAGTAGACCTCAGCCCACCACGCCTCCGCCGCCGCCGCCTCCGAAGACTCCATCATCGCGAATGTATCTGATTTCAAACCAAGTGGTAGCAGCTGCACTATGACGGCAAGAAGAGCAGCGTGATCACTTCGGAGTGCAGCGCCTCCAGAAATTGTCTATTTTCTGGATTTTGTATGTAGAAAAGAATTTCTAGGGTTTTTGTTGGTACAGGAAATTGAATCAATAAATCGAACAAATTTTACCGTACTGTTTTGGGATTGTTTTTATTGTTCTGTTCTTTTTGCATAGGAATCAGCTCATCAATTATAAAATTGGGAAAATTGCAACATTAGTCCGTAAGTTATTAAGCAAGTAGCACATAAATCACCAACACTTAAAATGAGCTAATTGATCCTTCGTTTATTTATTTTTTCAACTTCAATTGGCACTTAGAAAGTTGAAGCCAAATATACATTCATGAGAACCACATTATAACTATTATCTAACAAAGTTTCGACCGGTTTACGTCATTTCGAATGAACTTGCCCTTTTTCAAAAGTTTGAATTTAACTTGGCATTTAAACAGTCGATTGACCAATTGTGCAAATTTTCCTATAATAATCTAACAAAGAGAAATATGATATATATTTATGATAGCTTTAGTTGAAGCTTGCCATGTGACACATAAAATTGGATTGGATAACCTATAGATTCTATCACTTTTTACCTATTTAATCAAATCTACCATTATTGAATTGGTAAATACAAAGTCAACTTAAAAATGAGCTTTCTAAATAAAGAACATATCTAAAATAACTCTTTTTATCATAAAAACCACCAGAAGCATAGAATGGATTTTAAAGCTTCAATCTAGACAGAATGGGGAGGTCTGGATTTCCCGATCATATTTTATTGATCAAATCAAAGTACAAGCAGGAGGAAGAAATGAGCCTAACCTCCAGAATTGTATCAAGAGATCAACAGAGCAAGTGAATTTAAAATTTTTATATATGGAAGAACTTTTTTCATTACAATAAGCAAATGAACACATTAAAACAAAAAAATTTATATCGCCTAAAAGACAAGAACGTCACAAGATTCAAGTACAGTGATGTGCTAAATAACAGTCTGAAAATTTGTTTTGTGCCGATTTTTATGTCGCCTTGAATCGAATCCGTAGGCATCCAAATTCAACTCATATCGAAACCCACATAATATTGTACCAACTTTTATAAAAATCAGCTAAACTTTTGATTTTTAATCAAACCAAACAAGGGCTAAATATATAGATGTCGGATTATTATGTGGCCTTCCATATTATTTTTGCGAATTGACTTGGACGACACCCACAGATTTAAAGAAAGACATTATGATTGTTAATGATTGGATTTGTTTCCATTGTTGAGGACTCAATATGCAGCTGATAGAAAGGCTGAACATCAATTTGCATTTTCTTTTTTTTTTCAAAAGTTTGATTCTAATTAACTTGCTATTTTAAACAAAGGGTGCTCTAATGCACTTTTTCTTATAAATATAATTATTTAAGTTGAAGTTAAGTATACTAGTGTGATTATGTGTTAACATGTAAGACTGGATATGATATCCAATAGTTTTATCCTCTTTAATTAAGTCTAATAATTGATTTATAAGTTATTAAAAGAAACTTCCAAAATAAAGCGCACGGATCCCACCCCCCTCATTAGTTACATATAGATACCTTATAAAATTTTAATTTTCTATATTAAAATAAAAAAAAATTATATGTATTATATTTAGAAATGAGTCCATAATTAAAATTTTTTTTATCCTCTTCCTTGGCAAGTTGTCAAAAGCTGGAGAAAATGAAAAGAAAACTAGGGTGAGGATGAAACTAGAACAAGGGAATCCTATGCTATACTATCTATCATGAAAACATTCATCTGAGGAACCAAAATGTATTTAATTGGATGAGGGCTCACATGTAATGAAAAATAAGTTAGGGAATAAAATGCTACGAAAGTCAAGTGGGTTTTGAAAAGTAATATGACTTTATTTGCAATTTTTTTTTTAATTTTTGTTAATTTACTCCATTCTTTTATATTTATTTATTTAAAGAGAAGATCAAATATGTCATTGAATGGCCAAAATAGAGGGCGCACTTCGGCAGCGGAACTGCGATAGAGATAGTGCCTTGGCCAAGCAAACAATTCTTGTCTTCTTCTTTGTCTTGCCTTGGTTGACTGCTACATGTGCGTATGTGGTGCCTTCACGTGGCTTCCATTGGAGGCTTCACATATGATCAGTAACAATTCTAATTTTCTCTTATTTCATTTGCCAACTAGTCAATTAAACCCAAAAGAATGCTTTCCTCAAATTTATAATGAGTTGATAAGGAGTACGTATCGGTGTGAAAATTTCACGCAGTTTCAAAGCAATTCTTACGCTTCACGAAAAAACTCTTCCTTTGTTCTCCATCAATACTCAAAATGACTTTAGTTTCTTATTGAGTAATGTTATTTGCAATTGTTCATTGCCTCAGTCGTTCTACATGAGACACATATGACTGTTAGTGTTTTATTGCGTAATGTAACAAAAAACTACCACATTAATATATCAAATTATTAACCGTCGCATGTATGCCATGTAGGATGATTACGACAGTAAGCAACTACAAATAGTATTACTCTTTCTTGTTTGGTCATCCACAAATGATGGCCTTCTTAAAATAGACAATTAATTCCCCAAAATAACTTTTCCTAAAGCACGTACTACATATGTAAATCGATTATTGTTAATACATCTTATTGACAGGGATTCCAATTCAGGTAA